CAATGAATATAGAAGTACTGAGGTGACCAATGAATATAGAAGTACCGAGGTGACCAATGAATATAGAAGTACTGAGGTGACCAATGAATATAGAAGTACTGAGGTGACCAACAGTATCAATGACATGGAAACAACTCCTTTAAAGGTAGACGTAGTATTGTGAAATCACTTTAATTCAATAAATTTCACTTGGTGTGGAAGCATAGATGAGGTTAGTATCCAGAATTTCATTAAACCACTTTCAGCTGTGATTGTAATTTGAAAATGTTGATCATATCAGGCTCCCATTGACTTAGATTGGGTTTACACAATACACTGAATCATAAATTAACCAAACTACTCACTTAAGTCATGAAATATTAACCAGGGTTAAAACTAGATTTAATATGTTCGAGTTTACTAGGATATGGACAAGTGTGCAATGGGAAGTTAAAAGTACTTCACACAGCAAGACATTGTCCTGGGAGATTGTGGTGTCCTTTCCAGTCTTCTTGATGAGAAGGATAATCATATTAAATGTATGTGCTGTCTGATTCTCAGCAACTGTGGGCAGTTTATAAATGGTAAAAACATTTAAAACAAGTAACTATACAAAAATATAGAAAAAGGTAATAAGATGTCAAATAAAACAAACTCAGATGGGATGAGCAGTAGACTGGTGTAAGTATGCATGTATATATTTTATTTATTTATTTATTTATTTATTTATTTATTTATTTATTTATTTATTTATTTATTGCTTGCTTGCTTGCTTGCTTGCTTGCTTGCTTCTTTGTGTTCACTGGTGTAATAGTTTGATCATAAGAATGATAGTCCCTCCTTGAGAAAAAATTGCTATCCCAAAATTAACAGCATAGCTTGGGTAGATTAACTGAAGAAAAGATCACTTCCAGGCAACAATTTTTGAGAAATGTTATGATAATTGCTATGATATCTGGTCTTTCATTGTTGCCCATAGGATTCCTTGCATTTAGCCTCTGCAAGTGCACAAAGCCTGAGATACAGTGAAGCTACTTCAGGTGAGAGTTCGCATGTATGCTGCGCTATTCTTTTCACTATAACTTGAAGCTTTAGTTTTGCACATCAGTATCATACAGTAACATTGATATACAGTATAACGTCCCTGCTCCATGTCAGTTTTTCTTACGCGGATTGATATTGTTTATTATTTGTTTGTTTGTTTAAATGTGTTATAGCCCTCCAACTCCAAAATAAAAAAATCCATAAAACTGATAAAATATAAAACACATGTAGCCTGGACTAAAACAACCTCAAAGGCAATATAAATCAAACTCCTCAAAAATTCAAGGATACATTGACTCCAGGCCTGGGACCAAAACCAGATTTTAAGAGCTTTTTGGAAGCCTAGGAGGGAGGATACAGTTAACCAGAAAAAAGTGCCCACTTTTTCTTCAGTGAATCTAAGACAACTCTTCATTGAAAGTTATATTATTTGGGTGATATGTAATTTTGGAAATTTCAACTTTACTTTAGAAAACATAATATAAATGTGAATAAATGTATAAATATGTATAAATACATACTTGATTAATTGCATTAGATAGGTATATATAGAATTTAATTATTTACATACATAACGCACACACGCACTATATATATTTATATACATATATACATACATATATACATTCTTTTTTGCTTTGTTGTTTTTTGACAATGGATGTATTTTTACCATAATTATCTTTGATAATTGTGTTTTTCTTCTTCCCTTTTTTGGTCATTATTTCAAAAGAATTAAAGTAAATAAAAACAATGTATAAGTATTATACTGTACTATAAATAACAATGTCAACCAATTAAAATGTACTTCAGCACACGTCACCTTGATATTCTTCCCAATTAACATCTTATGTTGTTTATTTTTGCTTTTTAATTGAAATAAAAATAATAGTGAAAAAGAAAACAAAAACACACAGTAGAATTCTTTATTGGCCAAGTGTGGTTGGACACACAAGGAATTTGTCTTGGTGCAAATACTTTCAATATACAAGTGAAACTTGAAAAATTAGAACATCGTGCAAAACTTCATTTATTTCAGTAATGCAACTTAAAAGGTGAAACTAATATGTGATATAGACTCATTACATGCAAAGCAAGATAGTTCAAGCTGTGATGTGTCATAATTGCGATGATTATGGCTTACAGCTCATGAAAACCCCAAATCCACAATCTCAGAAAATTAGAATATTACATGCAATCAATAAAACAAAGATTATACATAGAACAGTATTGGACCTCTGAAAAGTATATGCATGCATATGTACTCAGTACTTGGTTTGGGCTCCTTTTGCAGCAATTACTGCCTCAATGCGGCGTGGCATGGAAGCTATCAGCCTGTGGCACTGCTAAGGTGTTATGGAAGACCAGGATGCTTCAATAGCGGCCTTTAGCTCTTCTGCATTGTTCGGTCTCATGTCTCTCATCTTTCTCTTGGCAATGCTCCATAGATTCTCTATGGGGTTCAGGTCAGGTGAGTTTGCTGGCCAATCAAGCACAGTAATCCCACGGTCATTGAACCAGGTTTTGGTGCTTTTGGCAGTGTGGGCAGGTGCCAAGTCCTGCTGGAAAATGAAGTCAGCATCCCCACAAAGCTCATCTGCGGAAGGAAGCATGAAGTGCTCCAAAATCTCCTGGTAGACGGCTGCATTGACCTTGGACTTAATGAAGCACAGTGGACCAACACCAGCAGATGACATGGCTCCCCAAATCAACACAGACTGTGGAAACTTCACACTGGACTTCAAGCATCTTGCAGTGTGTGCCTCTCCATTCTTCCTCCAGATTCTGGGTCCTTGGTTTCTAAATGAGATGCAAAAGTTGCTCTCATCAGAAAAGAGGACTTTGGACCACTGAGCAACAGACCAGTTCTGTTCTTTAGCCCAGGTAAGACGCTTCTGATGTTGTTTGTTGTTCAGGAGCGGCTTGACAAGAGGAATATGGCATTTGAAGCCCATGTCCAGGATCCGTCTGTGTGGTGGCTCTTGATGCACTGACTCCAGTCTCCGTCCACTCCTTGTGAAAGTCCGCAACACTTTTGAATGGCCTTTTCCTGACAATCCTCTCCAGGCTGAGGTCATCCCTGCTGCTTGTGCACCTTTTTCTTCCACACTTTTCCCTTCCACATAACTTTCTATTAATGTGCTTTGATACAGCACTTTGGGAACATCCAACTTCTTTTGCAATTACCTTTTGAGGCTTTCCTTCCTTATGGAGGGTGTCAATGATGGTTTTCTGCACAACTGTCAGGTCAGCAGTCTTTCCTATGATTGTGATTCCTACTGAACCAGACTGAGAGACCATTTAAAGGCTCAGGAACCCTTTGCAGGAGTTATGGCTTAATTAGCTGATTAGAGTGGGACACTTTGAGCCTAGAATGTTGAACCTTTTCACAATATTCTAATTTTCTGAGATTGTGGATTTGGGGTTTTCATGAGCTGTAAGCCATAATAATTGCAATTATGACAAATCACGGCTTGAACTTTCTTGCTTTGCATGTAATGAGTCTATCTCATATATTAGTTTCACCTTTTAAGTTGCATTACTGAAATAAATGAACTTTTGCACGATAATTTTTCGAGTTTCACCTGTACATAAAAGAAAAGATACATTTGTTAAGAATCATAAAGTACAACCTTAATGATAATTATAAGATATATATACAGTCATAGGGCACATAGGGCACATATATGATAATTCCACCTAAACATTTCAGTAAATGGTATTCATTACAATCATCCATAGCTAATCAGTGTCAGTCATTTTTGTTCATATGTTCCTCATAACATCAACTTAGCAGACCATTGAGTGATTGGGGTTTTATGTTTATCCCAACAGCCCAAGTTTTCTTATTAAAGGCAAATCTGGTTCTGACTGGATTGGTATTGGTGTGTTATTGTGCATGTGTATTCATTTAAGGATAGATTCACAGCAACCAAATTTGTATATGTTTGTGTATGTATAATGTGGTGTAATAGTTAAGGTAGTGGCCTAAAAACCAGGAGACTATGAGTTCTAGTCCTACCTTAAGCATGAAAGCCAGCTGGGTGAATTTGGGCCAGTCACACTTTCTCAGCCCAACCCACCTCACAGGGATGTTGCTGTGGAGAAGAAGAGAAGGAGGAAGGAGTATTAAGTATGTTTGCCACCTTGAGTTATAAAAATATAATAAAAAGCAGGATAAAAATGTATAAGAATAGCTACACATACAAACTCTTTGAGTATATTTGGTATTGTGTCAGTGATAGGAATACAGTTAAGTTTGCTTTGTTTCCCCTTTGTCGCTAAATACATTGGTTTGAGACAGGCAGCATCATTTTGTCATGGAAAAGGATTTTTGGTTTACCTTGATCAGTTTGTATGCTTCCTTTCTGCTTTGTAAGTGTGCTCCACAATAGAGAGGTAAGCAGTTTGATAAGACTTAAATCTTTCTGTATTCTTTTCCTGCTCCTTCCTGCAAAAGCTTTTCCGGGCTTCTGCAAAGTTAAAATTATTTTTTGATAATTTTTTTTACATTTTTCTGTAATTTCAGAAATGACATTGCCAACGGGAGTTTCAGACTTTTTGCTGGATTGTTTGGATATGGAGACTACTCTGGACTGTAGTTATACCAAGACTATTGATTCTACAAGTAGTTATTCATCACCTGAAATATTCAGGGATGAAACTGAGTTAGGTACATATTGTAAAAATTATTTGTAAGAATAAATGAAGAAAAGAGATGCACATACCTTTTATTTTTTATATATGCACATGTATCTATGTTTTTTCTTTGAATTTGAAGGCAGACCATTAGTACATTATATTTCGTTATACTAGGTACAGTAAGGGAGAAAAGCAGATCAAGTCATCTGCCCAATCTTTTTTAATTAGCTAATGTATGCATATTCCTTCAATCAACTTTTTTTTTAACTTTTGATTTGGCAATTTTTGATTTAAGTTTCCTAAACCCAGAGATAAATTACTTCCATTATGAATTAAGCAAAACATTTGCTTCCTATTATGCTCTCATTATCAACCTGTTTGTTAGCTCCGCTGAAATATATGCAAATGTTCCAAAGTCATTATAAAAAGACATTATTAACATTATAGATCTTTCTGAATTTTAATAATAGAACCATTAATTGGATTGTCTTCTCTCTTCAGAAGACACTGCTAGTCCTGAAACACATCTTGCATGCAAAAATTCAACTCTCTTGGATACCAGCAAAGCCATCAACCTAGACAAGATGTCGCAACTGCCAAACTTTTCTAAAATACTCGGTAACTTTCAGAACATGATATATAACGTTTTATTTTACTTTGCCATTGAAGTTCTATGGAAAAACAGAACTATATATTGAGCAGCTGACTTAGGTCTGGGAATATGTTATGGATGAACTTGTGTCAGGAAATAAAGGAAGCTGGGGGAGAAAAGTAATGGACAGAGTAAACTATATCTGCCAGTTTCCAATGGAAATTACTTCATCACTGAAGGCCAAACGTTTCTTTAACTTAATTTGGGATATTAGGAAACTCATTGAGAGTAATTCTACATGTCCTCTGGTCTCATCCACAAAGCAGCATTTTCTGCTGTTCGTTGCATGAGCCAGCTTAAAGCATATTGGCTTAATGAAATGCTGGTAATATTTCATATTTTACCTCCTTGGAATAAGAATTTTATCTGAATATGAAGAGGGGACAGGAAAGAAGTAGGGTGGGCAAGAAGATCTAAGGGCCTTTTGTTGTCAGTTCCCCGTTTTATGGAGTAATTCTATAGGCTAGAGAACTGACACAAAGGGATCCATTATCTTCTTCCTGTTCTGCTACCTTTTTTTTTGTCATGCATTGCAATAGAGATATGGGGAGATAAGAGACTTCCTCAAGTTTTATAGTTCCACCCACAATCATTTAAGATAGACGAGGCATCTGGGGAGATTTTGTCAATTTTACCTCAAACTGGTGAGTGCTGCAAGGGACTGCTGGCAGCAAGTGGCCATGGTATCCAAAGGTACTCCATGAAAAAGGGAAAATGGCGTTAGAGTAGGCAAAAATACCACCTCTGATGTTTATGATGTGAGATATTGATCTGTAGGAGGATAGGCAGGACCAGCAGGTAAAAGCAGCAATCAGAATACCTATTCAAATCAGCTGAAGTTCTTGAAATGTTCAATAGTAATATCTATAAATAAGAGGAGCTGCTATATTAGTATTTTAAAGCACATAAGTAGTCTCCCCAAAGCCTAAGACATAACTTACAAAACAGATTGTGGTTAGGTTTTCTGTAAGAAAAGCCCAGCAGACCAAAAGCAGTGGAGGGCCATTCTTAGTAACCAGAGGGCAAGGGCAGTGTCCACAACAGTGTGTGTTGACTGAAGTAAAAACATTGTCTTCAAGGAAATGAAGTGTCACAGACAGACTACAAAGCACCAGTCCCACTTTTGACATCGACCAAAAAGAAAAGACAGAGATCACTTCGTGGTGGGTCAAAAACATGTATTCCTTTCTTATACATGTTTATTTCTTCAATTTTTATGGATGTCCCCTTGCCAGGTACCTTTGTATAGCTAACTGAAAATTAAAAACATCAAAATTCAAATTAGAAACCTTAAAAACATGCTGGACACAAACATATTATGATACAAACATATATTATACATCATACTCATGGGTTCATATACTATCATGCCCCACTACTTGGGACAACAGTCTCCGGGGCCTTCATCAAGGCAGGCAAAGTCAAGTGACAAGTGGTTAATGGGCCACCTTTATACTGGGGCAAATAAAATATGGATGAGCCCTATGACATAGGCAATTAGAAATACTGTACTATCTTGTGCTTATTCAGCAAAACAAAATCTCTTCCAGGTACCCCTTTAGGAATCCAAGGACAAAACATTGCCAGGTAAAAAGAGAATTCTCTCTAAATTTGATAATCTCTTCCTTACATTAGTGTTTTACAAAGCTGCTGGTGCAAAACAATTTGTAAGATTAAAGATGCCAACAATCTTACTGGACTCCAAATGTATTCTCTTAATAAACCAAAACCACACTAGAAGAGTAATTTAAACTGCCACTAGGAACAGGTGATTAGTTCTGCCTCTTTTGTGGGAATCAGTTATTTTATAATATAGTACAAAATTAAATATATTAGGCAGTTGAGAAAAATTATCATAATTGGAAATCTTAAAAGATATGAACTTCTGTAACACGTTACTATTTTTATTTATATGATTAAGGTTTTAAGTCTCATTTGCTGGAGTAGTGAGTGCCAGATGCCAATTTCCATTTATATTTCACTCTACAGTTAGGAAATCAACAAAAGCTGTGGTGGGATTCAATTTTTTTTTACTACTGGTTCTGTGGGCATGGCTTGGTAGGCGTGGCAGGGGAAGGATAGTGTGAAATCTCAGAGGTGGTATTTGCTGGTTCTCTGAACTGCTGAAAATTTCTGCTACCAGTTCTCCAGAAGAGGTCAGAACCTGCTGAAAACCACCTCTGAACAAAAGCCTTGGACATGTTATACTAGATTATTTTACTTTGTCAATGTCTCTTCACATTCACTCCCCAAAGACCATTTTATTCAGAGAATGCTTCATATAAGCTTTAGAGTTACTGACATTTATACTTTTGGAGAAATCTCCAAGAATTGTGGAAACCTTGCTGAGAACTCTAGAAGTGAGACCAACTGTAGTTCTGAAGATCCCCTTTTAGAAATGACATTTTCTACAGTGTATCTATAAAGTTTACCCCTGTCCAGTTTCTGGCTCTAGGGGGCAGTACTCGTCTCCATTTTTTTTTAGCCAAGAGAGCCAGCTTTGTCCAAAAACACTGCTGTGGTCATGTAGTCAGCATGACTATACACTGAGATGCACGGAATGCTATTACCTTCACCATAATAATGCCTATTTATCTACTTGCATTTGCATGCTTCCGAACTGCTAGGGGAATAGGAGCTGGGACAAGTGACAGGAGCTTATCCAATTTCGTAGTGCTGGGTCTCAAACCTGGGCTGTCAGCTTTCCAACTGACAAGGTCAGTGTCTTTAACTGCTGAGCCATCACATATGTATTGTGGGACTAACAGAGGTTCATATTAAAGCAAAATTAACTATATGAATTGTTTTAACTGAGTAGCTGATATATAACATGTAATGTCTCCCCTGCGCAGAGATCAGATTGACTACCATCCTTTTTGTAAGAGCCTTAAATATCTGGTTCTGCCAGATGGCTCGAGGTCCCTATGGGGGAGTTCCACACTGGAGGTTAGTTGACTAATTAAAAGCTAACCCCACCTGCCCCCTATTGTATCCGACTGGTACGTTTTGTGTTAATGATTTTATTTTGTCATTTGATATCTGATGATTTAAATGGTTTTCTGAAATGTTTATTATGCTGAGTATAAGCCATCCAGAGTGGTTTGAAATGAGATGGGCAGCAAATAAATGTAATGAATTAAAAAATAAATATTATTGCACACAAGTAGTCCTTAACGTATGACCCCAAATGAACCCAAAATTTATATTGCTAAGCAAGGCTGCTAAGGGGCTTTTGTCCCATTTTCTGACCTTTTTTTTTTTTGCCATAGTAACTGCCACCGCAGTTCTTAAATGAATCATGCGGTCATTAAGCAAATCTGGCTTCCCCATTGACTTTCCTTGTCCAAAGCCAGCTGGGAAGTTTACAGGTGGTGATCAAATGACCCGAGTCAGTGCAACTATCATAAATATATGCCAATTCCCAAGTGCCTGAATTTTGATCATCTGATCATGGGAATGTCACAACAGTCGTAAGTGTGAAAAACAGCCCTAAGTTAGTTTTATCGGTGCCATTGTAACTTCAAATTGTTGTAACTTGAGGACTACTTGTACAGTGCTTTCAGATTAACTTTTTTTTCTACGTCTAAGCTCATTGGGCTACAAGCGTACTCCACAGTTCCTGATCTGCAGCCATCCTTTTGACTGTGATTTTTGTTGGACGTTGCTCACTTGTGGCGCATATGTCCAGCAAAGCACATTTTTTCTTCTCTCATTTTCTCAAGAGAGTCTTCAGGAATTACTTCCTTGTAGAACTTCCTTTTTTGTGACACGGTCCTTATACGAGATATGAAGAATCCTTCTGAGGCAATGTTGTTGGAAGATATTGATCTTATGAGCAATTTTAGTTGTAAATTTCCAGGTCTCACTGGCATAGGTAGCATTTGGTATGACAATGGCATTAAATAATCTGATCTTGGTTGCTGTGTTTATAGCAGAGGTGGTCCATGCTGAGAGCATTTGTTAGAAGACAGCAGCTGTTTGGCCTAGTCGTCATTTCACATCTGCCTCTGTTCCCCCATTGGTATCCATGATGCTACCAAGATAGTTGAATTTTCCCATCATTTTCCCATAAATTTTAAGGCCTATTCTCCTAATGTTATCGGGGTGTTGTCTTGAATACTGCTGACTTGGTTAATTAGGGGAACATAAATGGGAGGTTTTTATGTGGAATGCTAGTTATAGTTTTTTCATAATGTTTGAATATATATTAATACCACCGTCTTTTGCCAGCAGAAAACAATCCAGGGAAAAACTGCCTTCTGAACCCACAAATACTTCAGCTGTGATAGCAGGTAAAAAAAAAATTTTTTTTTACTATGTGTAAGCTACCTAATAGATTTTTTTTCTCTCTATTACTGAGGTAGGATTATGTCAACATTCTATTTATAGTGGTTCTTTGAAATACTGTCTAATCATATAAAACCTTTACTACAGCTTGATTGCAATCCTGGCACTGAAATTATCGTAACTAAAATAGTTCCCTTCTCATCCTCTGCATTGCTTTGCTGTCATTCATGGAATTTGTTTACATGCCCTATAATAATTTGGTGTCATATTTTCTCACAAGACTGATCAGGGATTTAAAAATGTATGTCTCGACTTAACTCTCAGTAATTTTGGCTTGTTTGGGAGCCCAGAGGTATTATCCTATCTAAAGATGGGAACGTTTAAAAATAATTTTAAAATAAATTATGTTTGAGGTTATAACCCTGTATGTGTACGTGTGTATGTGTGTGTGAACTCAAGGCAGTGAATATACCTAATAAAAAAAGAAAAAGAGTGACCAAAATCATCCAGCCAGATTTCCTGCCTAACCTAAGGGAGGCCTAGAAGTCTGCCTCCTGACTTCTAGGCCAGCGTCTTAACTGCTATAGCAAACTGGATCTTCATAGCAGCTATTACAATTTGTTATGGAAGTTGCACCTTTTTGTGGAATTGCATGGCTGTTTTCTGAAGAACCTTTCGTCTCTGAAGCTCTAAAATTGGTTGCAGTTAATTTAGTGAATGTTCATCCCAGATTTTCTGAGATATCTTATTAGGGAGAACTATTCAAAGCAGCCTTCTATACTGTACTCAGGTTTGGCTGATCTTTGACCATAATAAAATGAACTAAATACCCAGGCATTCAGTTCATTAATTTCTTGAGAAGTCTCCATTCTCTTTGAAGGGTCATGCATCTGTCTGTCTGTTTACTACATCTGTCTGTCTGTCTGTCTGTCTGTCTATCTATCTATCTATCTATCTATCTATCTATCTATCTATCTATCATTCTTCTTCTAGTGTTGAAATAAAAAAAAACAGAAGTTGTACATCTTCTGTTGGATCATCTCTGATTTGGATCATCTCAAACCATGCATTTTTCCTTCTCCCTGGTAGTAGCTTCTACCTTAGTATTTTGCCTAACCCAGTATTTCATTTTGTCACGAGATATAATCAAATGCCTTGATCCTATGTCAATAAAGGAGTAAAAACATGCTTGCATAAATGTGTATCAAGCTCCAGATCATACCAAATAAGGTCCTTACACCAGAGAAGAAAGTGCTGAAAGGACATGCTCCAGAATATCATGTGGCCAAGCATTTCCTCTCATACTATTAAGCACCTGTTTCCATGCCAATCATAGAGGAATCTGGGAAGAAATGAATTAAGGACTGAGGGTGTGCATTCTACTATAAAACATTCACAAAAAATTAGACCAGGATTGTGCAAAGGCTGGTGAGCAGAATCTTTAGCAAAGAAAACAAAAATCCTTATGAGCTATGTTAATTAGATTAAGGCAACCCAACTAACTTATGATGGAGCAGGGTTTTTCCCTTCCCCTCATCATTTACGTGACAGGGAAAGAAAGAATCCTATCCTAATGGTTATCTGGAGAGCATTTTGGAGAAGTGAGAAAAGGAAGCAGGGAAATCAAGGGAAAGAGGGAAGCCTGATTCTTCTCATATACTGCATTGGGAGACAAGGCGACTGAGACAGAATTGCTCTGGTGAGGAGTCCTGGGCACAGAAAATATAAAAACGAGTGTTCCTACCTCTGTTGGAAGCCAGTGCAGCTTTGTAAGAGATTCCTGTACTGATTTCAACTCAATGCATGAAGTCCAGCCTTCAAGGCATATCTTGCTACACTGTCTCAGTTCCCAAGCCAGTATCAGAAGGACTAAAGAAGAGTGACTGCAACACTTTGATTGGCTGTTAGTGGGGAAAAGTGGCAACAAGCTACAAAATCACAGCTATTTCTGGCTGCAGGCTGCACCCCATCACTATGGTAACCGTTGTGAGTACCTGATTCATCTAAAGTAATTGGTACCCTTGGATACATACATCAAGTGCAAAATGCTCATTCCCCCTTTGTAGAGAGATTTTGAATAAAGTGGGTAAGTTATATATAGTGCAAAGATATAATTATATGTTCTGAAATTGGGAATAAGCGCGTGATGCTGTTGATCGGTCTCTGAGTCACAAACCTATGGCTGGCAAAAATAGGGCCATTTTTTTCAGATGATTTGAAACATACCGTAGTGTTTTGTTGTATTTTTCAGGGAAACAAGTATGTAAAATTTTGTCTGCAAATGAAAAAAGACTTAAATCACAGCCTTCTGGGGTTTCATTATTGCTTCCAGAACGAAAAAAGAAGGTAACCATTTCTAATACTCTTCAGCGGTCATGTATAAATTGGGCAATGTGTGATTACCTTTATTTCTGTGCGCAGTTACTTGTGTATTTGACCTCTGTACCACAACCCACTGTTTTTATAAGTAAGGAAAATCTCTTTACTGTTACAGTGAATCACGTTTGTGAGAATTTCAACTGAAGTGTTAAATTATTCATTGCCAGGCTGTTATAAAAACCATAACAAAACACCCCTTCCAAACAAAGTAGTAACACATCTATATTCATTGATGGAATTGGACATGAATTAGACATGATTCCCACTTGACAAGGGATTTGGGGGTTGTTAAAAGAGGATGATGATGAATGATTGAAAGGGGACTGTAACTGGGGGCTTTCATGGATAACAAAAATTAACATTCGCTTGAGCTGAGCTCAACCCCTAGCATGCATGTCATCCATGTAGCTTTCATGGCAAGATAACAGAAGTGATTTGCTATTATCTCCTGATTTTTATTTTATTTTTATATTTCCCAATCTGGTCTACAACCCCACGGTCTCCTGGTAGTCCCCCATTCAAGTCATAACTAAATTTAACCCTGCTTAGCTTTTTCAAGATCAGCCAAACTTGATTAAATGCTGTCCCATTCTACAGCTGTAATAGATTACAACCATCAAGGATAGGGGTAGAATGACAGGGCGGGGTTTCTCACCAATATGCTTCCCATTACTGATAATTGATGGAAGAATACTTTCAGTGGAATGTGATAGATAGAAGGAAGGATTATTTAACCAGTCCTCTGTTTGCTTATTCTTGCCCACAATATTTCTCGAGTTTCTCACATGTTTGGGCAGTGTTATTTTGCGTTTTGGAGTTAACATAAGAAAATATTTTTTGAAACTGTCGTCCTGTTCTTAGATACAGATGCCCCAGAAGGGGCAATTGAAGTTATTGTGGTGTTATGATATCACCGGATACCTTAAACGGGACAAAGCTTATGAGGAAGGAAATCCTTTATATAATCTACATTCTTCTCTTCTCTCATGGATTTATTAGAGGATCTTAAGGAACTGAAGTCACCAAAAATTCCAAAATACAGAGCACAACATTAAGGAGGAAAAGAACCCCATGTTGTTGGCACCCAACTTCACCAGAGAGATCCCGAACATATCCCGAAAATATTTTTATAGCAGTTGAGGGTAGAAAAGTGGGAAATCTTAGGGATTTTATTTGCCAGCCAGGTTGGGGAAGCTAGGCAAGTCCTTGTCAGTGTCCCTGGAGTTAGTTCTATTGTTAAGCAAAACAGGTCTTTCATGGTAAAGGGGAAGGAATATTGAAGCTGATAGAAGCCTAGGAGTTTTCCTGTAAGAATGGCCAAGGGCTGGACTGCGAGCTGGTGACTGGGCTTTAATTCTTTCCTTTAGATGGGATTACAAGGGGTTTTGTTTTGGGGTAGGGAGGGTCAGTTTGGGTTTGATAGGAGGTGGTAATGAGAGGCTGTGGGTTTTACTCTGGTTATGTTCAAAAAACAGGGAAGAAAAAAGATGCAATCTCTCTTTTTAGTCTCTATTTTCTCCAAAAAACAGCTGTTCTTTACAATAGTGGGAAAATGAGTGTCACCTCCTCTACAATTTGTTAATTTGTTATGCTTTTAAAAATGAGATCAAAAATGCTTTGTTCACATTAGGTTATTTTAAATGTAAGTACATTTTTCACTAGTCTTGATTTTACACTGATGCATATTTCCTTTTAACTTTAGACTGAGGATCAAATACCCGTCAAAAGGAAATGTAGAAAAAAAATAACATTTGAAAATGAATGTTCTATATCCTCTCCTCATGGATCACCTTCCCCTGGAAAAAACAGCTCCAAGGAAATGTGTGGGATTCTAGCATCCAGACCTCCAAATGCTGACATGGTATGTAACTACTGCCTGTGTCTGAAGGCCATGGGGAAATGGAGTGTATGTATAAAAGGAAAAAAGAAGGTATATAAACCATATTGAACCTTGCACTTAGAAATTTATTTATTTATTATTTGTCAATTGCTTACAAGATAATAGGTATAAGTAAAAACATAGTTATGAATACACGGATACATATAAGAAAAATAAAAAATATATAAAAGAAACAATAGGACAGGGACGGTAGGCACATTGGTGCACTTATGCACGCCCCCTACAGACCTCTTAGGAAAGGGGTGAGGTCAATAGTAGACACGGTTAAAGTTTTTGGGGTTTGAGGAAGAAACCACAGATTCAGGTGGAGTATTCCAGACATTGACCACTCTGTTGCTGAAGTCATATTTCCTGCAATCAAGTTTGGTGTGATTAACCTTGAGTTTGTATCTACTGTTTGCTCCTGTGTTGTTATGTTTTGAAGCTGAAGTATTCATTGACAGGTAGGACATTGCAATGTATGATTTTATATACTATACTTAGATCGGATTGAAGGCGGCGTAGTTCTAGGTTTTCTAGGTCTAGAATTTCAAGTCTGGTGGCATAAGGTATTCTGCAATGAGTAGAAAAGTGGAGAACTCTTCTTGTAAAATATTTCTGGACTTTCTCAACTGTGTTAATATCAGATACATAATGTGGGTCCCAGACTGATGACCTGTATTCAAGTATTGGTCTAGCAAATGTTTTGTATGCTCTAGTAAGTAGTGTAATATTACCAGAGAAAAAGCTATGTAAGATTAGGTTAACAACTCTTAACGCCTTTTTGGCTATGTAGTTACAGTGGGCTCTAGCACTTAGGTCATTTGAGATGAGTACTCCAAGATCCTTGACAGAGTTTGGATCATCAACAAGGTCTTGACTATTCAGCCTGTATTTTATTTTCTGATTTTTTTTGCCAATATGTAGGACAGAGCATTTATTTGTTGAGATTTGAAGTTGCCATTTGTTTGACCATTCTGATACATAGTCAAGGTCTTTTTGAAGGGTAGCAGTATTGTCTGTGGTGTTGAATAGCTTTACATCATCAGTGAAGAGAACACAGTTGCTCTCAATATGATCACAGAGGTCATTTATGTAGACTATGAAGAGAGTTGGTCCTAGAACACTGCCTTGGGGGACACCACTGTTGACAGGTACAGAATTTTATAGGACACTCCCAATTTTGACCATTTGTTGTCTGTTTGACAGGAATGCTTCTATCCAGTAATGCAGGTGTCCAGAGATACCGTAAAATTTTAGTTTTAGGAGTAGTTTGTCATGTACCACTGAATCAAAGGCTTTACAGAAGTCTATGTAGATTGCGTCTATTGCTTTGCCCTGATCGAGTTGTGTAGTCCATATGTTTTTGCAGTGTAAAAGTTGCAGATTACATGATAAGTTTTTTCCTAAAACCAAATTGTTTATTAGAGAGTAGGTTGTTTGTTTCTAAGTAGAGGATGATGGATTGGTTAATAATTGATTCCATGACTTTACAGGTGATGCAGCATAAAGAGATTGGTCTGTAATTTTCAACTAGGCTGGGGTCTCCCTTTTTGAAGATGGGGATGACCGTGGCTAGTGACCATAGTTTTGGCAAGGAGCTGGTCCCAAAAGATTTTTCAAAGATTACGTTTAGAGGTTCTGCTATGGCAGTGGATAGCTTTTTTAAGAAGTAGGCACATATTCCGTCCGGTCCAATAGATAGAGATGGTTTTAGATTGCATAGTGCTTTTTGAACAATGTCTTCTTTAAAATCGATATGTATTAGATCATTGTAGTTGTCTGTGGTTCGACTAGGAAATACTGGGCATGATCCATTGCTGTTTACAAATACTGAGCCAAAGAATGTGTTAAAGAGGTTGACTTTAAGTGTCGTCGTTGCAGTCTTTACCATTAGGTCCTTTCAGGGGTGGGATGGACCTTGAGTCTTTTAGTTTGTTGTTTATAAAATTGTAGAAAGCACGGGTGGAATTGGTGCGTAGAAGGTTTTCTTCTTGTTTAATGTGATAATTGGTGCATTCAATTTTTATCTGGTGGCATAAATTTTTGTATCGGCTTTTGAAGTTGGCAACATGACCCGATTTGTTTTTCCTCCAAAGTGATCTCTTTTTGGATTGAAGCTTCCTTATTGTTATGGGTAATTTGTTTTTTTTCTGGTTTTTGGAGTTATTATTGGTACATATAGTTTGATGACTCTTTTGACTTCAAGTAAAAATATGTTGTAATGGTCTTCTACAGTATTGCATCCATAGAAATTGGCAATCAAGGGATGAGAGATCATTGTTTACAAGATCATAGTTGCCTTTTTTGAAGTTATAATTGGGGATTCCGTCGTTGTGATGATTTTTATATGGACGTATGTTAAGACAAAAGTCTATCATGTTGTGGTCACTGTTAGAAAAGGGTTCAATTTGTATTCCGTAAATTGAATTCAAACTATTGCAGAAGATGAGATCGAGGCAGTTGTATAATATTGACATAATGGCAGAAAATAGACAGCTATGAATTATTTGGCACCTTGACACTGAGACTGAGAATGCCTTTATCCATCTATTTCAGGAAAAAGATCCAATGGGAAGAACACCCTCATAATTAATCAAGCTTACTTATTCAACACTGGATATATAGGTCAAGGCCCCTTCCACACATTTATGAATGCAAGCTTGCTCATTTGACTCTCCATGTTTCCCCAGTCTGCACAAATGTAGATACTAAATTCATCTTATCAAAAACTGGCACTTTTTAATTTGGGTAGATAATCTGGAATTGTGTGATCAAGGGATTCCAGCTTACAGAATAATCACCTATTTTCTATTGCACTAATACTCTGTATAGGGCAGTTAACCTACAATAGGTTTCTTACTTTGATTGAATTTAAAGGCAGGGTATTAACTGAATGCATAAATAAACACCTTTATTTCTTTGCTACTAAATGAGGTTTTGTTTTTATTGTGTGCTTATTTTACAAACTTTAAACTACCTGGAAATGTTATGTTAAAGTATCTTAATGGCACCAGACATTCTGGCTATACTAACTAATATTTTCATCATGTAGGTAACAATATAAATGTTTGTTTGAAGTATGCCACTTAGTAACGTTTTCAGGGAAAAAAGGTGTTTTTTTAAAAAAAATATGAGCCAATTTGCTCAACTGCAAAAGCATTAAGAACTTTTGTACATTGTTACTTCTGGCAACAAGTATCCTTACTTGCTTGACAGTTTTTGCTTGAAAAATAAACACTGATATGAAATGAGTATCAACCAGAGTTTCCAATTTAAATGACTTTTATCAGAAACTCAGGCAAAAAGTGAATAAAGGATTACTTTCTGTACATTTTGAATTATCAATAGCTGAGATGCACCTTAAGACTGAAGGTTATATCCAGACATTTTTGTATTAAACATGTTTCCAGTTCAAAAGAGTATCATGTAACTATCTACTTGAACTTCAACTACTTTTCTGATCTAGAGCCATAATGGTGTCTATGAGAAGCCAGTTTTTATAAGCCACTATTACAGCATACTTTGACAAAGGGAAGGCTGTTTTGTGCAGTCCAGATATAAACTATTTCTGTAAAGTGAAGGTCATGAAATATTTTCCTTGAGAAACATACCCTCTGATTAACCATACCCCCTTGCATTTTTATTTTGCTTTGGTTACAGTTAGACTTATTGTCCGCGCATGAAGCCTCAGTCCAGGACAACTGTTTGGCATACAAAGAGTGTCCAAATGTGAATTCAGAAGCAATTGTTCCTCTTTTCCCCCGAAAGACCATTTATCAGGTTATATATTTCTTTACTTTTTCTATGATTCAATATTAAATTAGTATGTGATTTTTTTATTTATTTAAAGCATCAAGGTAAAATAGAACAGGATTTCAAATGTTTTCACAGTTCTCTCTCTCTGAAATGTGATATATTCTTAGGTCTGATTTTCTTCTGGTTTTATACTTTAGATAAAGGATGTTGGTTCTGAACCATGAATATTACTCTCTTTCTTCCTGTATTTGGGCTCTTTCTTGTTTTAATATATTCTTGTATTTTCAAATGTCACTTTTTTTTCTTAAAGTATTTTACAAAAAAAATCAGTAAAATTAATGGCCAACTTTTGCTGCCAACTTGCAGAGCCCTTCCACCCCAGGGTATATTGGGTAAGGAAACATTATGCTTTATATTGATTCCATGTAGAGTTTCAAATAGGTTGACATTGTTCTATGGCTCCTTTCAAACACACTGTCAAAATTCTGAATTAGTTTTGTATTATCACAGCAAACTTCTGGTTTGTGTGCTTTCCTTCCCTTTTACCTCTGGCATGGACTCAAGGGTTTAAATGCAGATCTTTTAGAATCATTTAGTTTTGTTCTTCTGTCCTTTTTTTGTCCAGGAAATGCAGAATCTGAATACAGCCTTTGCTCTTAGTTTGCTCATTCCTAGTTTAACTTAACTAGGATATTCACAAGAAATAACTCTGTTTAAAAATGAAAGGAAGTAGTTTTGATCTCATATCCATTTTAGAAAAAGACATAGGAGTGTGAGCACAAGAGCCAAAAGATTATACGTGCAATGCTTATCCAATAATTTAATGTTCTGAAAACTACTCCATGTTGTATGAATAATGTTCTTCTGTTTCATTCAGAATTTACATAGCCCACCAGAAATCTGCTGTATTATTCAAGCTTCACCAGGATTTAGACCGCTGAAAGTAGTCCAGCATTCAACAAAGAAAAAAAAAGGGTTTCTCCCACCAGAAGCAACTGAAGGTAAAAGGAAGAGAAAGAAAATATTATGATGAGCTATCTTAAATGGGTAACATGCTTTCAGATTCTGTATGCAGAAAATAGTTTGTGGTAGTTTGGGATAAAAGCTTCACAACAAATTCCAGTGCACTGCAACACAAATTGCTTGGAAAGTGAATTGAAAAAATGTGAGATTAGCTCGTGAGTTCAGATTATTTCTTGGCTATACATCCCCAGAATAATTTGTGGGCAATACAAAAAGCTATTAAGTCAATTTTATTTCTACCTTTAAAGTTTAGCCTAATTAATTAATTAATCTAATATAAAACTATCGCTCAACCCACCAAAAACATAACTGTAAAAGACAGACCAGAAATAAAAGTTAAAATAAGCAAAAAAATAGGAAGAGAACACCTGTCTGATCTTGATGAAAACAAATCACCAGGGCCTGATGGATTACATCCTAGAGTTTTAAAGGAGCTGGCAGAGGTCATCTCAGAACCACTGCACCATATCTTTCAAAAATCCTGGAGCACCGGGGAACTACCAGAAGACTGGAAAAGAGCTGATGTGGTTCCCATCTTCAAAAAAGGAAAAAAAACAGACCCGGGAAACTATAGACCAATCAGCCTAACATCAATACCCGGGAAGATACTGGAAAAGATAATAAAAAAACAGATCTGCCAACATCTAGAAACAAGTAAAGTAATAACTAGCAGTCAGCACGGGTTTGTTAAAAACAGATCATGCCAAACCAATCTTATTTCATTCTTGAACATAGTGACTAAATTAGTAGACCAGCGAAATATTGTGGACATAATATATTTAGATTTCAGCAAGGCATTCGACAAAGTTGACCACAACCTACTTCTTAGTAAGCTAGAAAAAAGTGGAATAGATAGCACCACCACTAGATGACTTGCAACTGGCTGACAAACCGTACTCAAGGAGTAGTCCTTAATGGATCTAAGTCTACATGGAGGGAAGTAAGCAGTGGGGTGCCACAAGGTTCAGTCTTAGGCCCAGTACTTTTCAATATCTTCATTAACGACTTAGATGAGGGAATAGAAGGGGAACTTACCAAATTTGCAGATGATACTAAGCTGGCAGGAATAGCTAACACCCAAGAAGATAGGCTCAAGATCCAGATGGAGCTTGACAGATTGGAATACTGGGCCATATCTAACAAAATGAAATTTAATGTAGAGAAAAGTAAAGTCCTACACTTAGGCAAGAAAAAACAAAAGTACACATATAGACTGGGTGAAACCAGGCTCAATAGCAGTAATCGTGAGATAGATCTTGGAGTCTTAGCTAAATATGAGCCAGCAGTGTGCAGCAGCCGCCAAAAAAGCTAATGCAATTCTAAGTTGCATTAACAGAGGGATACAGTCGAGATTAAGTGAGGTACTAATACCACTCTATAAAGCCTTAGTAAGACCACACCTAGAGTACTGCATCCAGTTTTGGTCACCACATTATAAAAAAGATGTTTAGACTCTAGAAAAAGTATAGAGAAGAGCAACTAGGATGATTAGGGGACTGGAGGCTAAAACATATGAAGAACTGTTACAGGAACTGGGCATGGCTAGTCTAGTGAAGAGAAGGACCAGGGGAGACATGATAGCAGTCTTCCAATATTTGAGGGGCTGCAACAGAGAGGAAGGGGTCAAGCTATTTTCTAAAGCTCCTGTAGGCCAGACAAGGAATAATGGATGGAAACTGAACAAGGAGAGATTTAACCTGGAAACAAGGAGAAACTTTCTGACAATGAGAACAATCAACCAATGGAACAGCTTGCCCTCAGAAGTTGTGGGAGCATCATCACTTGAGACTTTCAAGAAGAAATTGGACTCTCATCTGTCAGAGTGTAGGGTCTCCGGCTTGGGCGGGGGGTTGGATTAGATGACCTATAAGGTCCCTTCCAACTCTGATTATCTGTTATCTGTTAAAATCAGGAAAGGCAAAATTTGTAATGTTGAGCATAATACCCTGTTTCTCCAACAATATGGCCTCCCCCAATAGGAAGTCCCAGCATGTTTTATAGGCATGAAATGAAATTAAGCCCCTCCCCCCAAATTAAGGCCTATATTAAAACATGCAAAATGGGGGGGAATGGTGGGGGGGCTTGCCGTTAGGAAGTTCTTTTGTTGCACACCCGGATATGGTGCTGCCTTCGTTGACTCCAATACGAAGTGCCCCACCAACGCCAAGGTCAACATCCAAGCCATCGCCGCCCGCCCGCCCGAAGATGCGGGGGGGGGGCGGGAATTAAGTCACCCCCAAAAAGACGGCCTAGCCATTTTTTCGGGGCTCAAAAAAAAATTAGACCCGGCCTTATTATATGAGAAACACGGTAGCATGTTATATTGTCTAGAAATAATTATAATAGGAAAAGATATGGGAGATTGTTATGATCGAAGGATGGCAGTTTATGTATCTTGTTTGTTACCAAAAAGTATATTAGAGCTATGGTGTCACAGTGGTTAGAATGCAGTTCTACTTCTGGCTGCCAGCAGTTCGGCTGTTCATTTCTCACCGGCTCAAGGTTGACTCAGCCTTCCATCCTTCTGAGGTCGGTAAAATGAGGACCCAGATTGTTGCGGGCATTATGTTGACTCTGTAAACTGCTTAGAGAGGACTATAAAGCACTGTGAAGTTGTATATAAGTCTTAAGTGCTATTGCTATACTATAAGAACGGCTTTTTCTGCTGTATACCATCCAAATTTCTTGTTATATTGCATTTTGGGCAAGTTTTTAGATCTATTTCCATTGACAGTTCTGACTGTTCTACAGTTGTAATATTGTTCCCAAATTCAACAATATAATACTGATGTATTTTCTCCAAAAGGTGAAACAGAAATTTTATCCCAGTACAAAAATATTTATATTTCAGATATTCTTACAAGTTCATAAAACAACCAAAAAACTCACCAAAGCAGGAAGAAACGAAGCAGAGTACCTGATGGATCCTCTGCAGTATCTACTATAAGCAGCACGTATAATTAGTAAAATTCATTGGCATTAAATTCTATTGCAATAAATTATATTAATACTATCTTCATAACTTATATATTCCTATAATTATATCTAATTTCCAGTATTTATCTACAACACTTGTTACATGCTTCTGAATTGCATATTTATTGAAGAATATGTAAAATGGTTACCTAGGAAGGAGATTGTTGGATTTGCATATGGCCACTTATTATTTCTCTGTTGAAAATTACTTTGGTTTACTTCTTACTGTTTTCTTAAGGAAAATATAAAACATTTACTTGGTTGAATCATTTAAAAAAAAAGAAAAAATGGGAAATTGAGAAAATGGAAGGCAGCACATAATTAAAGAAAATATCTGGCTTTTGTACATTTGAAACCTGGTGATAGTTTTAAAGGAAATAATGGGGGGGAAATATTTCAGGATGCATGTATTTTAATAGGTAAAATATTGTTCAATGATTATAAAATGGCATAAGTTTAGTGTTCATGTTTTGAATTATGTTTTTGAAACTATTTTATATATCCTTAATATATCTCAGAGATATTAGTCTAAATTCAGCTAAATTGAAATCTTTGAATTTAAGCCAATTCAAACTAATTGCTTCTATTTTTCATTTCAACTAGACTGAATGTAAATTAAAATGTGAAGCTCTAATACTTTTGTCCACTGAATATGTAAAAAAATAAATTATTTTTGTTAGCACAATTCTTTTTAACAGAGTGATTTCTTTTCCTCAACGGATTTTAAGACAAAATGTTAATATTTATTGCCAGTTTTAAAGAGATTCTTCTGCATATTATTTTTGATAAAGAAGTTTCTGTGATACTATTCTCTAAACATGTTTATCATGGTTTACTCAGCCCAGTTTTCTGGTCAAACACAACACACTGAATTATAAAATTAAACAAATCAAGTTGAGTTTGCACAATATAATAAGCTAAAATGTATTTTGCCTCGTGGTGACTCAGTATGCTGGGCAAATCTAGTCTGTATTTTGTTTTACTCAACCTTCTCCCTCTACCTTAAAGGCTGGTCTTAAAATTTTGTTGATGACACAATGTTTAGTGTACCTTTTGGTTTGTAAGTACCTAACATACTTATAAAACTGAAGTGTGGTGGCTAGAAGAGATCAGAGCAGCTGCTGCTTTTTGTAAACTAACCAAAGCTCCTTATTATGCCCGATGTGGTTTTGTGCAACCTTTTTTGGAGAACAATTTTACTGATGCTATTCCATGAAAAAATAATCAAGACAAAGAAAATCTTTGCTGGCTCTCATTGCCTTTGTTGTATGGTTGTACCAGTGGAAAGAGAAGCTGATTTTCACTTCTGATTTCCCTTGATGTTATTTTCCAAAACATCTAATGTGGTCAAGGTCACTTTATAATGAAGATTCTCCTCTGATGGATGTCTTCAGTGGTGTTGACATAAGCACAGCAACATATCCAGCAAGCTTCTGATTCCAGTCAGGAATAATCTCTCCGATGTAGTCCTTTATGGTGTCAGTTCAAATTTTCATCTTACATAAGACAAAATTGCTAATGAGAGAGTTTGTTCCTATCAAAAGTCCTTGCTTTATAGAACAATACAAGTCAGCTCTTCAGTTTGCCTGAAAAATTAGATGGAAACAATATCATTTATTATAGACACATTATTACACCTAGGACTGACTGACATTGTCTAGTCACTACTTGATAGCTTGCATATCAAGTAAAAACTTAGAAGTATGACTGAATCTTGGATTTTAGACATTTGCTGGAGGTTACATTTTGCTTGCAATCCATGACCATGATCCTTATCATTTCGCCTACTTAATTGTGACTCACCTAATGTTAAGAGAGTATATAATGTTATATAACTGGCCTTCGAGTCCAGTTTTGTGCATTTGTTTTCATGCATGAACTGATATTCCCCAAGCTGTATTTCAATTTTACCTTCCAGGTAAGTTGGGATTCTTGTTCTCTGAGTTTGTCTGTTTTTTGTACACATTTCATTACCAAACTAGGTAACAGCAGGGGTTTACTCTCATTTTATATACTATTTGCCCCATCGGGGAAGAGAAGGAGGAGAACACTCACAACAGTAAAAAACAACAACGAAAAATAGTAGATAAAGTACAGTATAAAAACACAGAAAACCTTTATAGGGTAATGTTAAAAAAAGCATATTAAAACCATAAAACATGATCAAAGACCAGGTTATCAAAACTTTAATTGCATTCAAAACAACCATTGAAGAAGCTCTATTACCCAGTTGGATCTCCAAACCTGGTGGGCAAAGCCAACCTTTAGGACCTCATAAAAGACCAATAGGGCTGAGGGCAATCTAATCCAGGCTTTATAGAAATTTCATACAGTTGAAATTGAACATACTGTATACATTCTGCTTAACTTGGAAAAAATGTTTTATTTTGTTCGCATATAAATGTCATTAAGGCTAAATTATTCCTTGTTACAGTGCAGAGAAGATGGGTCTCAATTTCTCTGTTTGAATTCCTGCTTAGAATTAGAGTATTCTAAACTATTCCTTTAGCATGTTTCAGCTCTACAAAGTTTAATCTTGACTGCTAATTGACTAATCAGTACATAGACTTAAAATGGTCCATTTTCAATCTTTAATTAGTATATAAGCAGATTAAGAGATTTATTTACGCAGTTTAAAAGATTCTATAAAATTTAACTAAAGATTTAGTAAAACTTAAACTAAATAAAAAAAACTTCGAATGAAAACTAAACTATAATAGAGAAAAATATGAAAGTTTTCTATCCTTGCTTTGTTACCGTTACAAAAGAATACATGGGGTTCAAAGAGAAAATGTATAGTTATGGTATCAAATCCTCAATTTTTCCTTCCTAATTCAATAGAACGTTTTACCATTTTTTTCTCCAAGTCAGGAAGTTCCCAAGGAAGTGAAGATTATATTTATTCAGACTTCTAATAGAACAAAAGGAAGAACTGTGCAGACCTATGGTGAGCATCATGGAATCAAAGGTTCTGCTTCTCTCCCCGCCTCCCCCCAATCTCCCCAGAATCTTTGTTTAGTCACTACTGCTTTTAAATGACTTCCTGATTCCAACATAATTTTGAACTTTTTCTTTCAAGCTATTCTCCTTCCTGGCATTTTTTTTTTTTTTTTAGTCTCCTATCAGTCTAGTATTCGACTGATGCTTCCTTACAAAGAAGTGGCATAGTTTTAAGTGCAACTATTTATTGGCCCTAGAAGGACCATTTTCATTTCCAATATGGGAGAGCTAATTTGGTATAGCAATTAAGGCAGCATCCTAGAAATTGGGAGACCGGGAGTTTTAGTCCTGCCTTAGGCCCCAAACCAAGTAGGTGATCTTGGACCAATCATTCTTAGCTCTAGGAAGGAGACAATAGTAAACTATGTCCGAAAAATCTTGCCATGAAAACTTCAGGGACTTGTTCAGGCAGTCACCAGGAGTCAACAATGACTCAAAAGCACACACCCAAAAGGGATGAAGATACTGGATTAAAGCATTTGGCTTTTTGATCCCTTGAAACTGCGTTTAAGACACATCTCAGCTGTCACCTTCAGTATGTAAAATATATTTTCCCTTACTTTGACAAATGAACATAGCATCATTTCTCACATATGTTAACTTCTATGTTTGGAAGAACATCCTAATCATTAAATCAACTTTACATGCCAACTGGTACTAAAATCTTCCAGGCTTTTTCTTCACCAAATCAGTAGATTTGGGTCCGTCAAGATAAGGATGGCTAGCAATCATGGCTCTTCAGGGAGTAGTTTTGGGAGAAGATGAGTGATAGAGTTAAAGTCTTGGCAAAAAGTTTCGAGAACCACGAAAACCACTCTCCCCACCCATGTCTGGCTTCTTGGACTTGGAGAAACAATGAAACAAAAAAACCCACACATGCAACCTTCTACAATGCAGTATTAAATCTCGGACTAGAACAACTAGTAACCAACAACACTAGACTTAACAACTGCCTTGATCTCACCTTCTGCAATAGTTTGAATTCAATTTACGGAATACAAATTAAAGAACCCTTTTCCAGCAGTGACCACAACATGATTGACTTTTGTCTCAACATACGTCCACACAAAAATCATCACAACGACAGAATCCCCAATTTTAACTTCAAAAAAGGCAACTATGATCTTGTAAACAACGATCTCTCATCCCTTGATTGCCAATTTCTATTTTCTGGATGCAATACTGTAGAAGACCATTACAACATATTTTTACTTGAAGTCAAAAGAGTCATCAAACTATATGTACCATTAACAACTCCCAAAACCAGACAAAACAAATTACCCATAACAATAAGGAAGCTTCAATCCAAAAAGAGATCACTTTGGCGGAAAAAACAAATCTGGTCACGTTGCCAACTTCAAAAGCCGATACAAAAATGTATGCCACCAGATAAAAACTGAATGCACCAATTATCACATTAAACAAGAAGAAAACCTTCTACTCACCAATTCCACCCGCGCTTTCTACAATTTTGTAAACAACTAAAAGACTCAAGGTCCATCCCACCCCTGAAAGGACCTAATGGTAAAGACTGCAATGACGACACTATAAAAGCCAACCTCTTTAACACATTCTTTGGCTCAGTATTTGTAAACAGCAATGGATCATGCCCAGTATTTCCTAGTCGAACCACAGACAACTACAATGATCTAATACGTATCGATTTTACAGTCCCTCTCCATCACCTGCTGGCCACACCCACCCATTTTAGCGAATGGGAAAAGACATATGTCACGTGACAACACCGTGATGATGCGTGTTTGACACCCCTGCATTAGCACTTAGACTTATATACCGCTTCACAGTGCTTTACAGCCTTCTCTAAGCAGTTTATAGAATCAGCATATTAGAGGAGGCTGTAAAGCACTGTGAAGCGGTATATAAGCCTAAGTGCTAATGCAGGGGTGTCAAACATGCATCATCACGGTGTTGTCACGTGATGTATCATGTCTTTTCCCCATTCATTATAATGGGTGGGTGTGGCCAGCAGGTGATGTATCCAGCCTGTGGGTTGCGAGTTTGATACCCCTGTGCTATTGCTATATGCCTTGCCAGTAATGTACAGGATGAAACGGAGAGCTACAGTAAATGTTGCAACATTAAATATTCTGTTTCCAGCCTTGCCCTCTTCCATGATTCTTGAACCAAGTTTAGGAACTTTTTGTATATGGGAAGGGAAGTTAACAGTTTTGAGAAGGTTCAAATATGTCACATACAAGTTTTGTGTGCTGGGATTCTCCTTATTTTTTCTGGGGTTTCTATGCAGGCAACACAGACAAATTCTTTTTGGAAACAGCCAGTCAGAGGCAGATGAATAACTCTGACCAATATGGTCATCATGTGTCATCAGCATGGTCAATCTTAATGCATGGCTAGATTTCCTGAAAGGCAGACTGCATTTGTGTGGTCCACTACATCCAGAGCTACATTGCAACACTTTTACCTTGAATCACTGGGTGTGCAGTTTTGTCATCACTGGAACACTCATACCTAGCATACCACTGGTGTAAAGGGTTGTGGAGTGATGGAGGGTGATGGAGAAGCTAAAGTTTTAAGGTCCCTCCTATCTGGTGAAAGATAAAACTTTCTGGGTGATTCCCCAGTCTCACTTTCCTTGGAGCAACTTGCATTCAATGGTGGCGCTTGTGGGACACCAACAAAGTAGGTTCTTAAGGGTACTGCCTTTAGCTCTCAAGGGAAAAGCACTTAGCTTCCATTGCTGGCTGTCTTGCCCATCTTCACTTTTGTTTCCCCGGCCATCTTGACTTCTTTCCCGGTAATTTGTAACTGAGAGGATTTGGAGAAATGACTTTCATAGCAGCCACAATTAATAACTTGGCACAATCACACTGTAACTGTTTCTGTCAGCTGCTAACACAAACGAAAGACTTCTCCCCCCCACACCCTTCTTAGCACTTTTGAACTCTTGACTTTTAGAACGTACTTAAGGGTGTGTGTGTGTGTGTGTGTGT